ACTCAAGATTTGATTTCAGTTCTGTTCTCGGCAGCAAAAAAAAAGTTTTAGCATTAAAATGGAAGGCTAGAGACACCCCCCCCCCAACTGTACATTCTTGGTTGCTTAAGGTTTGGGAATATTTTATTTTGGAGAAGCTGATATATGATGTGGGTAGGGGTGTGCCTTTGGAAATTCCGAGCCGAAAAAAATTCCGAAAAACTCTTTTCGGGATTTTTCGGCTTTCTGGATGCCGAGAGCCGGGAAAAAATCCGAAAAAAAAAATTGGGGGTTTTTTGGCATTTTTCGGCAATGCCGAAAATGGCCACTGGGGGGTCTTAACGTGACCAGGAAAACCTGTTTTCTCGCCATTTCCCCCTCTTTCCCGCCTCTTGCTCCTGTTTCCATGAGGGAGGGGGAAAGAGGGAACTTCAGACAGCCAATCAATGCAATGCATTTGCAAATGCACTGCAGTTTGCAACTTTCGGCAAGGCTGTTGTTGCTACTGCCAGCCCAACCACTAGCTTGCTCCTTTCCCAGGGAAGGAGCACTGGTGGCCAATAGGGTTTTGGCATCTGCTCTCTACCAATCACAGAAGGTGTTTCTTTTTGAAATCCTTCTGTGTATACCCAGAGAACATAAAAGGAGACAGTCTCTGGTGGCTGACGCTATTGCTGCTGTGCTGTTCCTGGATCCTGTGTGCTGTGTTCCTGTTGCTGGTGATGAGAGAGAGCTGCCTGGCTTGGCTTAGAGGAGATTGTGTGTGGCTGGCTGGCTTCTGCTGCCGCCCCTGCCCTGCTCCTTCAGCCTGCCCGCTTTCCTCCCTCCTGCCTGGACCTCCTTGGATCGAGAGCAGACATCAGCCTGGTTTACTGTATTAGGGCACTTTAAAAAAAAAATTTTGTTTTGGTGGTTTGGGGCCTGGGGTTGGTGAGAGGGTGGTGTGAGTAGGCCTCCAGGGCACCGGGCCTCTTTCTGGGTTTTATTTTGGGGGTGGGTTCTTCTAGTTTCTCTTTTTGCACAGTTTAATTTTTTTTACTGTGTGCTTTTCATTTGGCTTGCCTTGTTGGGGGGGGTTTCTTGTTGGGGGGGTTTCTTCTGAGGGGGGGGTAG